CATAGAAACCCATTCCCAAAAGGAAATTGTGTCACTTTAAACATCACATTTGACGACATATCATCACATCTATTGACTAGATCGAGAGGAGAGTTAGTTCATCTGACTTTGTTACGAAAGAGGAGAGTAAGTTTCTTTCGACTCAAAAATGGTTAAAGGCGAGTATGTTCATTTTTGGCGGGTCCTCGCGGTTTTCCACGGTTTCCGCGGAACTGATAAGAGATAACAACTTGGTGTCTTCGGCAAAGTTGTAGCAGTTGAGGTCTTCTATAACATTGCTGAAGTCAATTATCTCTTAACTCTTATCAGTTCCGCGAAAAGCGCGAAAAATGATAAGAAAAAAAAAGTTCTATATAAAATTTGCTTTTTTATGTGCGCGATTTGCGCGCAACTGATAAGAGATAAAAGATAGATGTCTTCAGCAATGTTATAGAAGACCTCGAGTACTACAACTTTGCCGAAGACACCATGTTGTTATCTTTTATCAGTTCCGCGGAAACCGTAAAAAACCGCGGAGGCTAGACGGGATGCCAACATACTTCCTTTTATCGCAGATAGAATCAACAGAAATCATACTCTCCTCTTTCAAAATATATTCGAATTTTTTCACATACTCTCCTCTCGATCTAGTCAATAGACATTATATACACGAAATATGTTAATTAAAACTTTCGGGTGCCCATTTGATGGGTTATATTGTGGAATTTATCCAGCCACAATATAGATCAATGTCTATTGATTTGTGGCACACAGGCAAAAACCATCCAATTCAAATTGACAAATTTATCTCTTAAAAGGATCGAAAATTCCGACGAATGAGACATTTGTTTTTGCTTGCATTCATTAATCACCGTATTTTCGGTCAACCGCACACATTCCAATCATCTCCTAATCAAATTATGTCAATTTGAGTCGGTTGAGTCTCAGCAACAGCGTCCATCATAATCCATGGCCAAACTTTCCATTTCATAATTGAAGCGACAACTGGGAAAAACAATATGAGAATATTCGAAATATTTTCGAGCAATTTGAAATAGCATTTTTATAAAATAAACTTTGACTGGAATTTTTTTTTTCCATTTCAGTCACTATCTCCTTTGGTGAAATGTGTACACAAAGCGAGACTATCCTCGGCACAAATGCTTTTTTTTATTTTAGTAGAATTCTGAGTTGAAACAAATTTCAAGCGAACAAATTGTTTAGACATAAACAATAAATCAAAGCAAGAGTACAGTACATTGGAACTTGTAACACATGGAACTTGTAGAAATGTCAAAACTTTGCAAAACTTATTTTGTAAGTATTTTTGCAGTTATTTAGATTTGTTTATTGTGTGCACATACTGTACTCTTCTGGTTTGAGCATTCAACAGACGCTTCTAGTGAAATGAATTCAAGATTGCTCTATGGCTATGTTGAAATAAGCCAAAAGCGTCCAAGAGACATTGTTTAACTAGTATCGTCGTTTCATTGCATGCTGCATTGCAATGGTGATGCTAATTTCGATATTTCAACTTACAAATTGAATGTATGGTGTGTGGGAATGTTCAGCACCTAGCCATATCGAGAAGTAGCAGTGATTTAAAGATTGGTATATTGCATGTTCATAGGTTTTGTTGGGCTGCATGTATGCTATTTGCTTGCAATTAATGCGTTTTGGGAATTGAATAGAATTGCAAGTGGCAATCATCAGTTCACATTTCGGTTCAGATGGGTGCTGCTAATTTCTATTGTAGATTTGTGTATACCTCAAATGTACGTACCAACATAAATGACTAGCGTTTGTCGTCGTCGTCGTCGAAAATTTACCGTTTTCCATGTCGATGCGGTAAATAGTAGTGGTGTTGTTCATGGTTATGTTGTTAATAGTAGCAAACAAAGTCGAATGTCGGTTGCTGTTTTGCTTGTTGCCGCATATTTGATGGTTCATAATCTCCATACTATATATGAAATACTGGCTGCAACAGCAGGAGCTACCTACGCAGCAGCAGCAGTACATTTGATGTGTACAAGAGAGAAAGTACAGTAAAATTACCGTAGCGACTGCAAATGAAGAACGACGTTCGTTCGCGATGTCATCGGATGATTTTTACGGATGGGTGTGAGTGTCAACATTTGAACGTGTTTTTGCCAATTCATTGGAAAATTGTAACTGAATATTATGTACACAATATTGTCATCATCACTGTGGTCGTTACTACATCGCGTTGTCACTTCGACATTCTAACATGAGCGGTAAATACCGAAACCCTTATCTTGCACCACACCTTTTGAACACACGGGCAAAAGAAAGCGTGTGAAAATGAATGGCAAAGCTTCGTTTTTTTTTCCTTTTAATACACTCGTAAATAGGGAGCGAAAGATGATATGCTCAACAGGTGATATACAATATTTATGAACGTAGGTGTGCCAGGCGCTTTGCAGTCGCATGCTTTCATGTATTGAGTGGGAGACAACACTTGCATTCCTTATCGCATTCGACAGGTGATGCGTGCTCGCATGTGTTTGCTCGTCCGTCTCTATGGAACACTATACATTCGAATTGAAATAGTTACACGAAAAAAGCCAAATTGAGAAAACATACAGCATCAACACTGATATCTTTCAATATCACTATTTTTGGAAAGTATGTTGCAAGCAACAGCTCAAGCAATGTTTGCCTCACAAGTAATTCGATCTGTTGAGATACTTCGTACACACATTGCTTTAATAGCGCGTAAATAATTTATACGAGAATCCTCTATATCGATGAATATTTTGACATGCAGTGTGTGTGTGTACGGCTTGAGCGGTGTGCATGAATAAATGAGTGCACACTGGTTTTTGAATGCTTACCGAAAATTGCTCACTTTCGGATGTTTCGAAATGGTGTAAGGAACTTTATACCACAACATTGTCATGAATAAATAATGTTTATGCGCTGACAAAGGCTAATGGAACCAATCATCAATATGCCAATCTTTCCATATTTAAAGTCAATTTGAATACCGATGTTGACGATGTTGCTACTTGGTTTCTTTTTTCCTCCAATTTTTTCCTCATTTCGCTTTAATGTTTTCCGCTCGGAAATTTGATTACGCAAGTAATGCATTCTAAACCGCGCCAGAGATGCGACAGGGAAAAGGAACGTGGGAAAGAGAACGTGTCTTGAACAGCGCTAAAGATTCTTCTGTGTCACGATGGAAAAAACCCTTTTTTGGAGTTTTTTTTTTAAAGCGAAAACCGACGCGTGGATAAAGTAAAGTCATTAATCAGACATTTTTTTTTTCATGGAGAACGTGTACGAACGACCTTTTATAATCAGTAGCCCGTGAGTTGATAATTATACTGCAGGTTCAAATACTTTCAACCGGAGATGTTCGAACTTTTTTTCGCAGCAGAAAATCAATTTGTGTATGCAAAGCATCATCATTAAATGAACGGACAAAACAGGGGGAAAAAGTAATTAATTCATTGCAGAGAACCTTTGGTGAATGGGAGAGAAAAAAGCATGAAAAAACGGTGCAATATTTAGTGATCGAAACTTTTTTTTTCGCACATTTGCTCTATACATTCATTTATATTCATTACATGTCAATTTTGTTGAACACTTTCCGGCTGCTGAGCGCATAGGAACTAATCAGTAATTATATTGCAGGTAATGAAAACAAATTTCCCAGCAACAACGGCAATGCCAATAATTTTAACTTTAAACATTGGGCTTGGATGAAAAAAACAAATGATTATTCCGCATTGGAAATTTGAATAATTTCAATCGAAAAAAAAGAACAATGAAAAAACTCTTCGACTTTCAATATTGACCTATGGCCGCCATTGTTTGCCAAAAACGCCCATTCAACGGGATATAGCATGAATGTAGAGAGAGTTAGTTATTTATTATTATCAAACAATCCTTTATAGCTGAAGAATAACTTTCACATTCGCATATTTGGAATGTTTTTCTATGTTGGGTGCGCTTGAGCATCGTTGAATTTTGAAACAACTAGGTACGTATTAGCATTTTCTGGAGAATGCATACTTTAAACGTAGATGGTTTAACAGCCAACCAAACGACCCTTTAAAATTCAACTTGTATTTCCTTTGACGGCGTACTTGACTGTTGGCTTTTGCAAAAAAACTGGTCTTGTTCTTTACAAAATAAATAGAACCTCTCACTTGCCGTAGGTTTTTCTATGATGGGTCTTTTGTGCCATTTTTTGGGTACACATTTATTTGCATATGTGAAATATTTCCATTTCGTGAATGTGGCGATGTTATAGCACGACGACGCGACTGGCAGCCGGAATGTTTGAATGTTTATATAAAACACATCTGCATGCGCCCCGTACGGTAGCGTGCACGCATCTGATTTTCGAAGCGAAAAATAATATGGATAAATGTTTTAAAATTCACGGTTGGAGCCGTTCGGCGCACAACGACGAAAAGCATGCTATAAGCAATTCGACTATAATAACACACATAAAGCGATTCTTTTTACGATTCTCGAATAATATTCCCTTTTCATTGCTCATTTTATTTCATTTTATATATATATTTTTTCGTTCGCTGCCATTCGAACGGAACAGCGCATTCTAATCCAAATCACCAAACTTAAAGTCTTTCTGGGTGTGCTTAGGCGCACCACATGAATGTTGACTACATAAAATTCGGTTATCATAAATAAAACGGAAAGCGATATGTCGCTATGACTCAAAGCTTTGAATCGAGGCCAACAAGAAAAACATTAGCCCGAAAAAGACAGAAGAAACAGTGGCACGAGCTTCAACATAATGTCGGTTGCGCGTCTCAACATGGTGACGACAATTTGATTACGTGTGCATTTTGTTTTTGGTCGTAGTTTTGATTTATGTTACAGCTTCGCATTCACCCCGATAAAAAGTCCGAATGAGGTGCCATTATTTTTAACATGGTTGATCCGATTTGACGGCGGCAAAATGGGCCCATAAAAAGCTACACACTGGATCAATGCCAGTGTCTGTGTCTGTAAATATTCGCACTCACCTGGAGTAAATCAGCCTAATTCCAAAAAATAGCGGCAAGAAGAAATAGAGAGATAGACAGAATTAGAAAATCACATTTCACTTCATGCAAATAAACGTTTCGTTACATAAAAAAAGGAGAAAAATAATCGATACAAATAGATTCTAAATATATCAAAATTAATCGATTTCAAGCCATTTACGTGACTCTATATTTGGCTCTAATGCCGATTCTCGTACCACAACGTACGATAAGCTAACGAATCAAATTCTGAAATACTACTATTCCCTGGCAATAAATAATAAGACGGCGAAAAAGGTTGAAATGTTGCTAACAGAAGGAGCGAAAAAAGTGTTTGCTACTATTTATATGGAAGAATTGGAAATAGGATGATGGAAATAAACAGGCAGTCGACGGCACGTTGTGATGGAGAGTTTTGCAGAATGGTTTTCGATATACGCAGCAAATGTCACCAGAGAGTGAATGTATACAGCCGAAAGACAGAAAAACACACACACATGAATCGTCGCATGTGGACTGGATGTCTCAACTCAAATAGGAACCATGTTGTTTCTGCGCTGAATTAAACATAAATTTTAAAAGTGATGTTAGCATTTGCTTTTTGCCAACGTTAAAAATAGCGAAAAAAGCCTGCACTTGAGTGTTTTGACAACTCAGTTTAAAGCTCTCGAGCATCTATTATAATCAATTCAAGTATTGACGTTTAGTTTTGTTGCAAAGAAGAAGTGCAAAACTGGGAATAAATAAATAAATCAACAAAAAATTATTTTCGTTTCGATATCAGTTACATCATTTTTCAATCTTATTGCATGCGCTTGTCCGTGTGTGTTTTTCCGCTTTAGTTTTTTGTTTGTTTAAACGGTTTTTTGTGTATGTGCCGAATAACATGAAAAAGTCTCATATTGAGCCCATGGACTGGGTATGGAGGCCATGTGAAGGCACTTCGAGCTTGCACAGGAAAACATTCTGAAACGGAATGGAATTTTAGTTTGAAAAACGTTCGAGAAGTGAGATAGAGGGAGAAAGAGAGCAAAGGAAAAAAGAGAATCCTTTATAACACAATAACATAGACGTGGCCAACATGGGAAAGGAAGACTGCTCTCAAGTTGTGTATACACTGTACAATGTTCGAAGCTCAGTATTCTAACTCGAACTCATGGCAAGCTCGAAGCTCGCATGCATGTTAACATTGTCGTTATTTTTTGTCCTTTGATTTACGTCCGTTAATTCAAGAGTGTTTTGAACGTAGTTGTCATCCCGGATATAAAACACATTCGCTTGAGGCTCAGTCTACATGTTTCGCTTTCTCTTGTGCTGCCACTACTATTGCTGCTGCTGCTGCTGCTGCTGCTGCTGCTGCTGCTGCTGCTGCTGCTGTATCCATGCCAATGACGTCACTCGCAAACCCCATTCAAACAAGAGTATATTCTATAAATAAGTTATTTGTGTGCACGCGTGTCGATGTGTACAAAGTACACATATAAATAAAAAGCGAAGCTGGAAGAGTCACGATTCTCTCTTACTCTCTCTCTCTTGCTATATACGTCTAGATGCCTTTTATTAGGTGCGTATAGCTTTCATTCGTCGTTTACTTTATATACACATTTGAAACATCGTTTCTCCATAGCACGTCAACGTGCTGCAACTACTAGTTCAAGCGCTTTTCAAGCCAGAACAATGGCGAGAAAGAGATAGAGCGGTAGATGGTTTTGCCTTGAAAATTTACATTCACCTCTTTATTCGATTTTATGAGGGCTTACAAGCCATCTGAGGTGATGCTTTCGCCTTATTTACGCTGACTGCTGTCGTCTTTGGCTCAAACTCGTACAATTTAATGCCATCGTAAACATGCTACGTTCAGCATGCATGCGAGTGCGTGTGATAAATAACAGCTTAGGAATTTCCACGCTAAATAAATAGCGAATATCTGTACACCCAATCCCAACCCATTGAATGAACTTCATGCAGGTAAATAAATAAGAAAAAGGCGCCGAACTTTATCCCGCTTTTACTTTCATTTCAATATTCTTCGTGCCGACCTTCAACGCCTTCAATTTCTGCTGACGACCGTGAATGCATTCAATTAAGTCGTCTCTTTATTACTTCAATTCCGTGAAAATGGTCGAATCTTTGGAATTATGAATAATTTTCTGCATAATTTTGTTACTAATATCAAATTCAATGTACGGATCTAGCCAACAAATTTCAGTAGAAGAGCAGGTGGCTGCCAGATTCAAAATACAAATTTAAATTTATTGATCGGTCTGAATATGTGGCATTTTATCATTGTATCGAATAAAATTCTGTCAATATTTAATAATTCAATTCAAGACTTATTCCATCAATTCAATGTGGCTGTGAACTCAATTTTGTTGCCATGTTCTACGAAACACTACGTCTAATTAGCTCTTAACTTAATTAGTTTTGGGCCGAAGCAGAAGAGATGAACAAAAGGATGCCCAAGCCCATATGCCCATGTACAATCATACTGGAAATATTAAGTGACGTAAATGGAACGAAAATTTAATTGATGTCCATTATGTTGGACGTCCATTTCGTTGCTCACTCAAAGTTTGAGCTTTATGTTCGCAGTTCTCAGTGAGAACTTTGCACACATAAAAAGCAGAAAGGAAGAAAAAAACATATTTATCGATCAAGTGGGATAAATTATATTAAGTAATAGTAAATGCCACATGTGACGGCCTGCAGGTGAAATTTTGCGGATAAGCCGCATGTACGACATTCAATAAAAATGCGATGATCGCAGGTGTTTATCATACTTTGCCGGTGGCATTTAGATAACGCAATTCACAAATAAATCATAGTTTTAGTCATAAACTTGAGCACATAAAAACCGTTCGTCGCAAAAGAAAGATTGGCAGAATAGAAGTATGTGACATTGCCACTGGCTGCGTACAATTTTGCTGTGTATCGCATTCTCTATTCCTCTCCGTCTTAGATTTTTCGATGTAAAAACAGGGAGAAAATCACGTATTTGCACATACTTCCGTTTTATCGCAAGCCGTTATCTATTTTATCCAAAGTTTTCTATTCCTTCGCTCGATTTCTTTCGCATCTTTCTGCTGATATTGCTTAAAACAATAATATTTCAAGTCGAATACCGGTAAAATAAATCACATTACATTGGCACGGAGATTCTTTCGATGTGGAAAAAAAAATAGATATATTTCAAGTTGGTGTAAAAGACCTAAATCACAGGCATCGAATTCGCGTTTCCATCGGCAAAAAGCGCCACGAGAAAAGTCAACATAAATCCATGCTTTTACATAAATTAATAATGAATGACGCTTTTTTCCCTTTGTGCTTCTGTTTACATTTGAACTGCTGAGAATAAAAGGCTGACGATTGTAGGTTTTTCGCAAAAGCGGGATAAAAATCAGTCGCACGCAAAAGAGACATTTCAAAAGGTTGCACGCAAGAGAGAAGTTGTTGTAATCACGGCTTGAAAATTCGAAATGCGACAAAATAAAATGTTCCGTTTGCGTGCAACCTTTTGAAATGTCTCTTTTGCGTGCGACTGATTTTTATCCCGCTTTTGCGAAAAACCTGCAATCGTCAGCCTTTTATTCTCAGCAGTTCATTTGGTCTATTGTCGCCCCAAATTCAAGCTTTATCATCATCGATTGCGGCAAATACACCGCTTCGTTACTACATGCGCACTGTGGAACGCACCAGATACGCTTTTCTTAAGAGATACGTGCAAATCGGCGTCAACATCAAAATGAATTTCGTTCATTGAGATTTGTGTGTGTGCTGTATCGACGAGAAAATGAAAATGCCCAAGGAAAATTTAATAAACAGCAAATTCGATTACAGACGCGTCGAATGTTTCCTTTGGGCGGTTGCAAATGCGAATGTCTTTGAACCCAACGCCTTTTAATATTTCATGCGTCGAATGGAAGAGAAAAGGGCGCGCACACGTGCAATAATTCATCAGTGGCGACGCAAAATGCTGAAATTTCGGTAACATTCGATAGTGTGGCTACGCAACGATTATCATCGATTTCATTTCTCTCAAGCATCATAATGTGTCTTGACTTACCCATTTTTACGGAAACAACTTCAAATGCGATCAAGTGGTGGAAAAACTAACGGCAACAGATTTAAGTTTCCAATGAAAATAAAAAGCACTAGACAGAAGTAATTTTACAACACAAATCGCATTAAGATTTAGGCGCAATTTAATTGTTTCGTTGCTTATAAATATAATTGGAGCGCCATTTTCTCACGTCGACCAAAATGTTAATTTTGGAATATCAGTTTTCGTGTTTGAATTTACGATTCAAATAGGTGCGTCTCACCGTAGCATTGTTAGTGTAACTGCTTTTAAGTGAAATGCCAACAATTATTTGCGAAGCGAAGAGCATAAGAAATTCGATATAAGTTTGGTGAGGCTCAATTTGTGTGCTCTGTTATTTCTGTTTTGGATCGCGTTCTTATTTCAAGCATTCAATAAATGCCTGCACAAAGCAATACGCCAAGTCATGCGACGAAATAAACTCCTCACTATCACATCATTAAAAATTCTTCGTAACACATTTCGCTTGAGCATTCGGTTTAGCCTTTGTGACATGTTGACATCCTTTTTATTACAATTACGCTACACAACGTCAATGGTAAGCTTCGCTGACTCAGATTCCGCTTTCCGTACTTTGATTAAAACACTTATGCCCACTGAACCGAGCACCAGCACTGCATGAACGGAGAAAGAGAAAAAAAGCGATGCATGCGCACATTCGTTTATTAAAGCAGCCTAATAAAATTCATATATGTGTACCGACAAGCCGAAGGATTATGAGTTTATGAAAATGTATTGTGCACTCTCTTATCATACCTTCTCCAGACACTTATTTGAGCACAAGCAGGTGACGAAACGAGAACATTTTATCCAGTCGGAGCGTATAAGTAAAGTTGCTACTATCACCACTTGAGATTTACATTGATTAGTTACAATTTGAATGCGATGAAGGAAGGTTAGGTACAGTGCCATTCGA